GGGCATACATCCTTTATATTACCTGAAACTATAACAAAATATGACATTAGGCAAAAAATAATATATTGTAAATGAATTGAAAAACTTGTACAACACATATCTAATGGTACGAAAATTTATGGTTCATTATGTACCCATAACTCAACACAAGGGAATATGATTTATGTCATCATTTTTAAGCATCAATTGCGCAGAAGACTTGTCATGTCAATTATCTTATGAATTGCTGGATCCTTTGTGATAGTTCATATCTGAAGCTTTCAATTGTTATTGTGTTTTGTAACTTTGAGTGTGAAAAAACTAATCATCTGTTGAACTTAGGATATTATTTGTACTTTCTTTTTGTTTATATTTTTACAGGAAGTACATTGCTTATTACCAAACTCCTACTTTTTTAGTATTTTCCTAATGAAGTATAATGCTTATTACCAAATGGCATAAGAACAACCGTTACTTGATTGTGCAACTTCTTGACCAACCATGAAAATGAATGATCATCTTTGTTAATACAAAAGCACTAACAAGGCTGATATCTCTGAGGATGGAATCGTATATCCACCAGAATTTAGTGATTTGGACTGTAATGCCGCCAGCTGTTGCAGGATATATATATCTGCTCCCTCTTTTGCCTTTTATGAAACTACTCAACTCAGCTGTATATCTTGTCTTTCCTGTTCTTCATTACATCCATAACATTGAATATATATCTCATTCTTAGGATACGTTCAACACGTTCCTGATTTACTGACTCCTTAAAGCAATTCTAGTTACAAGTTTTCAAAGAATCAATTCCACGAGGCAAGTTAAAATATTTTCTCAAAGTCGCTAATTCTTAACACTTCACTTATTATCTCAACTGCCTTCATGTGTATGCTATCTCCTGGTAATTAGATTCTAATTACAATGAATAACGTAATTTTCAATTAAATAATAGAGATGCTTCGGAATATTTATTCAAGTAATCTAGAGATATTTCATTGCATACTTTCCTCTTTTTCTATTTAACTCACTCGCAACCTTTCAGAGATGCTTCCCAGTAGGACAAAATAAATTTGGATTGACTTTCAATGAAACCGGAAAGTAAAGTCCCAAAATCAGGACAAGAAAGAAAGAAGAGCTGACAAAATTTTTAAATGTCTTGACGTTCTATTAATCCTATTCCATGTGTGTGATCCTTTCTACAATCTCTCCAACAAATTAAAATAACATAATTCATTAATCAAGATGTAAAGAATTTGGTGAGAGTGACAATTTTAAGGAGAACACAAGAGAACTCTTATTATTAGGAAAGAAATTCGTTACCTTTTAGAACGACAATCCTATTCACAAATCACAAGATAAAAGACAATCAAAGAATAGTTGAACGATGTACTAAAAGTCTACAATAATAATATACTCTATTTTACCCTTACCTTGAGATATAGAAACATTGTTTCCGATGATGTAATAAAGTCGAAATAGTTCATTCTATTTTCTTTTGGTAGTTCGATCGTGAAATTTCTTTGTTTCTGTATTTCTAGAGTAAGTGACATGAGATTGTGACTTGTTATAATTGATATAACTCTTAAATTTAGCAGGAATTTGTACAAAACAATAAAATCCAAAAACTAATATATTTCTACTATATAGAAATGTGAAGACGACCGGACGACCACTGGCAATATTGTAAATATATGTTTATTTAAAGGGCAAATTGTTCAAGCAAACCACGAGGTGGCCGTTCTTTTCATTCAAGAAATTTTGTCTTTTTTTAATTACGTGGCTGCCTCATATCCACAAATTAGAAAATATCTATTACTCCTTTCATCATCAACAAGACTTCTCTAGAATAAGCATATACATTGATTTTATCAAGCCACTCTAAAGTTACAACTCCCATTCAGCACGGATGATCTAGATCAGAAGATTTTCAAAACTTTCAGTAATTTCTTACCATTCAAGGTATAGTTTTATTCATGTCTTCTTCTCGAATTTCCTTAGTTTGTGATGTACTATGGTGGCAATTCTCTGTCTACAA